GTGTGGTCCGGCTGCACCCGGTCATTTTGGCCTCCATCGTGGACAGCTACGAGCGACGCAACGAGGGTGCCGCCCGAGTCATCGGGACTCTGCTGGGTGAGCGGTCGGAGGATGGTGACGTCCCCCTGTACCTCCCCCGCCCCTTCCTCTTGCTCCCCTTTCCTCCTACCCGCGTTGGTCTCCCGCCTGTTCCTCCATCCCACCTTCCTGCTGCGACTCAGCTGCCCCGTGAACTGGCCGCCTGGCTGCTGTCATTATGGGCGACGTAAGGCGTATGGGAGTAGCTGTGTATTAGATGCCGCGTGCCGAGTGGTTTACATTTTACGCTTCCCGGTCGCATGTCACGTCAAGGATGGTTAGTCCCAGTCTACAACAACGAGTTAAAACGCCGGCTAGGAAGCCAGAAACCCAGGAATCCCGAAGCCCAGGGACCACGTTTTTCCTCCCTTTTTTACTGACTAAATGGCTGTGTTTGCCAGGGGTTTGCAGAGAAGTTGCTAACCAGTGGGACAGCTGATAAAAGACACCCCCTATCAACAGCAAACCGGTTTGGCAGGCACCCATTTAGTGTTTCAGCGATAATGTGCTTTCCTAGATGTGTGAGTCCGATGCCCCATCCCTCAGCCGCCCCCTCAGCCTCCCTGGTGCCCGATCCCTCAGCCTCCCGATGCTTGATGCCCCATCCCTCAGCTTCCCAGTGCTCGTCCCTAAGGACCCGGGTCCCCCAGCGTGGCCTGAGCCTCCATGTGGGCACTCACAGTTGTATTGTCTGTTTGTGACATTGTTTGTTTAACCTTCGCAGCAGAGAATAGCCCTTTCCCCACCCATGTTCCCAATTTGGGGGACAGGTGTTTTTTATGTTAAAGTAACTTGCAAAATGGAGACGCACTAACGAGGACTTACTGATAACATACCCCTTCCTCTGGGGACTGCTGGTCCCACCAGATTCATTTCCACCCCATCTTAGTCACAAATTTGGGCACCTTGTGAGCCCACTCCAGTCGCATGCCTCACCTCTCCTCCTTCCTCTTGCCCTTGTGGTAGCCGTCCCACAGAAGACCTAGTATTGCGAAGAGGACGTGATCTGTAGGCCGACTCCCCAGTTTGTCCCCTGCGCCTTGGGGACAGAGTTCCTTCAGGGGCTACCTCGCTCGGGCTTAGGCTCCGGGAGACCTAAATTACTAGAGAAAGCCTCTAGCTGCTGGCACAGAACAGCTGCTGGTCGCCCTCCCCTCCACACCAGGCCTGTCCCACCCCTAAGACACGCACATTCTCTCTTTTCCTTTGAGGGCATAGCATTTTACAGAAACGTCAGCTAATCCATTCTCTTCCAACAGTGCCACGGTTTTCCTCACACCAAGCTCTGTGTTCTCTTTGACACGAGCACCTCCCCTACTCTCCCTTACTTGTTTAAGTTTCACTCATCTCCAGGTTCCCCGGAAAAGTGAGCTGTGTCGATCCTTCTTCCCGTACTTCCCCCCCATCCCCTTTCTTAACTTCCCAAAACATGACAGCGTTCTGTGACTATGCCCTGCTTTGACCTTGTACTAGTAATAAATGGCTTTTGCATCACTGACTTGGCACTCAACAAATACTTACTCTTTTAGCTACTCTGTCAAATTTTCCAAACTCACTGGAGCTACTTAACTAAAGAAAACTGCAGTGACTCTCGTTAGAGCAACTGTAACCTAGATCTTCAGCTCTTCGTCCAGACAGGCATCATGGTGCAGTGCGAGGTGTATAGAGGCCGTGTTTACTTAGGAGTGGTGCGCGGAGTCTGCTTGGTAGGGACAAATGTCCTCAACTTTAATTTATGAAACATATTTCATTTGGTTAAATGAAGTTACTGGTGTTTTTTATGTATCATAAGACTGTTGGGCACTTAGAAGTCAAAGCTTGGTTAAGTGAAACAGTTCAGTCAGAAAAAGCGAAGAACCATATGATTTCACTCATGTGAAATATAAAACTGGAACTTGTGAACACAAACAGCAGTGTGGTGGTTGCTGAACGTAAGCGGGTGGGGGGAACAAAGGGGCCCTAATATATTGGTGACAGAAGAAGATTTGACTGGGTGGTGGGTACCTGGTACAATAGATAGGTCTTGTAACATAAACCCACACCTGAAACCTATCCTATCCTATATAATAAAAAGCTAATATGCAAATTGACCAAACAGTGGAATGACTGGTCACTATGATGTGCACTGACCACCAGGGGGCAGATGCTCAATGCAGGAGCTGCTTCCTGGTGGTCAGTGCACTCCCACAGGGGGAGCGCCATTCAGCCAGAAGCGGGCTCAGGGCTGGCAAGCGCAGCAGTGGTGGCAGGAGCCTCTCCTGCCTCCATGGCAGCGCTAAGGATGTCTGACAGACATCCTCCGAGGGCTCCCAGACGATGAGAGGGCACAGGCCGGGCTGGGGGCCCTCCCCGCCCCCCAGTGCATGAATTTCGTGCACCAGGCCTCTAGTATGTTCATGTTGACCAGTGTCACCCCAATAAACTTACTGTAAAAAAAAAAAGAAGTAAAAGCTTAATAAATGAGCTCTACTCTAACTTTAAGTTGGAGATGAAGCCATATTCTTATATGCAAATAGTTTAGAATGTAATGTGGTAAACGCTCCAGTAGAAAGGTGTCCTAGAGGCATAGAAAATATAGAAGGCTTAACTATCTCAAAAACTTGACGTGGTCAAGTCTTAGATGCTACCTTCAAATAAGTTAGAAGGTATATCCATTGGGTTTGGGGGCATAGTTTCAGCTAAGGAACGAAACCATGGTAAAGTGGAATTAGACACTAACAGGTATAAGCAACATTGTGGTCCCTGGTGGAGAGGGAAGCACGTGAAGCCTGGGATGGGAGTAGGAAAAAGCAGAAGTGAAGGGGCTAGCAGTTTGGGTGGGGTTGAGAAACAGGTGTGCACAGTGGGAATAACGTGTCAGAACTAGAAGAGAAGTTTGTGGTAAAAGCTGACATTGGTGTTGGAGGTTCACAGGTAGGTCCTGGGTGATCATAGGGTTAAGGTGCTGATCCTGGACCAGACGGCTGAATATCTGAAAGCATGAGGAAGGGGGTCGGGGGTGGTTAGGAGCCTTCGTGTCACATAACACGGACAATCCTCTCTCACAGGAACCGTGGACAAGCACTCAGTGGAAGTCACCAACTGCTTTTCGGTGCCGCACAACGAGTCAGAAGATGAGGTGAGTGGGACTCGAGCTGCCCCTGTGCAGTCTGTAGCTGTTCCTTTGCTGGGCTCCCCTTCGGGCCCTCCCCCACACTATATGCTGTGCTCACCACTAGAGTCCTCCAGTTCACAGAGCTTCGCTCCTTTCGGACAAACTGCATGTGCCTTTTCTGTCTGGTGGGTGGCCTCTCGTTCTTAGACATTTTTTTCTATGAACTTCTGGCTTCTGAGCTTCCTTTCCTGCCTTCTTAGGTGGCTGTTGACATGGAATTTGCTAAGAACATGTATGAATTGCACAAGAAAGTCTCTCCAAATGAGCTCATCCTGGGCTGGTAAGTTGGGATACAGGGGGGTTGGAAAGTCTCAACGATTGCCAAGGCCTTTTGCCACCAGACTAGATGATGTGCTCCCTCTTCAGGAAACAGAGCGTTGAAGGTGTGTGACCTCGAGGGGCTGTGAATTCAGTGTGTGTTGCTGGCTAGTCTGATCCTTTGAGGCCAGAAATATCTTTTCAGTTGCAGCTTTTACTCAACAAGTCTTTTGCTTTGCTAATGATTTGGGATTTTTCAAGAGCTCTAAGTCAGCTTTTGATTTGATTTGATATAGTTTTCTATGTGTCTACTGTTTTATTATTTGGAGTGTCATCAGGTGTCCCTACCATGGTACCTAGAGACACCCATGCCACCATCGTGGTTGGTATTGATGTCACATGTAGGCATGCGTCCACAAGCGTGTTTCATTTTCCAGGTACGCTACAGGCCATGACATCACAGAGCACTCTGTGCTGATCCATGAGTACTACAGCCGGGAGGCCCCCAACCCCATTCACCTCACCGTGGACACGAGCCTCCAGAATGGTCGCATGAGCATCAAGGCTTATGTCAGGTGACCAGGGTCTTGGGCCACAAGGGCATAAAAGGCTATCTAGTTCATACCATGGCCAGATGACACCCCACCTCCAGCCCCGGCAGGTATAACTCCCTGCCTCCTAAGGAAGCCCCTCAGAAAAGTTTTATTTGCCCTGAAACAAATCCATCCTGGAAATTTCCACTCGCTGATCCTAGCTGTACCCCAGATTTCTCCTTGCTCTTAACCAGTTTCAAGGGGCAGCCCTTTAGATATTTGAGCAAGCTATCATGTTCTTCATGTCACCTTTTGGGGGGTGCGGGGGGAGCTAATTCTGTACAGTTCCTATGGTCGATCCTTCCATGGTGTTCTGGTCATGGTCCTTCACCATGTTCACTGCTTGTCTGAGCTGCCCTCTGTAGTGTGTCCTTCTCCCTGGAACTGAGCAGGGATAGGGGTAGTGTACATTGAGAATGGCTGTCCTTATGGCTGTCCAGGGTTTAGTACAGTTTGATGACCGTAACGTTACAGTATTAAACTGGTGAAAGTGGCGGTTAGTGGGGGGGTATTGGGAAAGGCTGCAGTGGCATGCTGAAGTAGGGGCTGCTCTTGGAGTTGGAAGGATTCTACTTTCTGTTTATAATGAAGGCATTTGTTAAGTTTATATGCTGATTAACTTTGTGCTGTTTCTGTGTCTGACAGTGACGTAACTAGTTAACCATTAAGCAGTAAGACAGATGGTGGGTACCAAGTCCTAATGGCCAGTTGGGGGTACCACTAAGCTCTAGCGTTGCCTGCTTTCTTAGCCTTCCCAGATATTTCATGCATCTCAGACCCAGTTGGAAGTGTTTAGCTGACATAGTAAAGGCAGTCTCCTTTAGTGCGATGACTTGCGGCACCCGACCTAATCTGGTGGGCTGGAGTGAATTTGTCTGTCAGATGCAGATGGAGGGCTCAGTCCCAGAAAAGACCTGTCCTGTCTCTTCTTTCTGTGGTGGTGGATGTCTAGGCAGCCAGCTCCAAGGAAAATTAGTGTCCTGTCCTCTCATCACTGAGATTGCACAGGTACCACAGGTCCGAAAGCTGAGTCCCCTCCCACAGGCCAAGGGGTTGGTGTGTGGAATGAGCTAAGGGAAGAAAGTGAGCCCTCTGGGGTTCGAGCCTTCTTATGTCAGAACCTTGGGAGCCGTACTCTTGGTGTGGCTGCTTTCCTGGCCTGGACCTGACGTGGAAGCCCTCTCAAGGCCGTCTTGTTTACCTTGACTTCTCTCTCCCCAGCACTTTAATGGGTGTCCCGGGGAAGACCATGGGGGTGATGTTCACACCTCTGACAGTGAAATACGCGTACTATGACACTGAGCGCATTGGCGGTGAGTCACCTTCCCATGCCCTTTTTGAAGGCCTTTGGCATTTGCATAGGAGGAGTTGCTGCTTTCTGACAAGGATGGAGGGCCTTGGGTTGGTTAAAGAGGAACCATTGAAGTCAGTCATTCTCCTACATAAATGGGATTCAAGGAATTATGTGTGAAATTGTTAAAGGTGGGGAATTATCAGTACCACAGGCTACATGGCTGTTCATATGAGACCAACACCAGTGATAGCATTCTAGGTGCAGGAGTTGGCCGCTGTCATGAGAAACACTAATAAGGGCAGAGCAGGGGAGTTGGGGGAAGTAGACCGAGTCCAGAGGGAGGTGGGAGAGTTAGCAGGATGGTTAGAAATCATCTCTTTCCTGATGGGACCACTGAGTTTTCTGTTTCTTCTACCTCCCAACCCAACCCCACAGTTGACCTGATCATGAAGACCTGTTTTAGCACCAACCGGGTGATTGGACTCTCAAGTGACTTGCAGCAAGTAGCAGGGTCCTCGGCTCGCATCCAGGATGCCCTCAGCACAGTGTTGCAGTATGCGGAGGACGTGCTGGTGAGGAGGGGAGGGGACAGGAAGGAGGCATAGGTCCACCCTAGCTTGCTGGGGGGTCTGCTGAAATGACAGCCCTCAGCGGTGAGACTTAACTGTGCCCATTCAATCTGTTTGGTGCTCAGTCTGGAAAGGTGTCTGCTGACAATACTGTGGGCCGCTTCTTGATGAGTCTGGTTAACCAAGTACCCAAGATCGTTCCCGAGGACTTCGAGACCATGCTCAACAGCAACATCAATGTGAGTGCCACTTCTGGGCTTCTGGAAGCCTCTGCCTTCCTACCTCACCACGGATGTGAAGGGAATTGGGGGACAGGAGACTGGGCTTCACCTTTGCCACCCTTACTCTCCAGTTTGGGAGGAAGGAAGAGATAGTACACATGCTCAGAGACCCCTTCTCCTTCCTTGATTGCATTGGCCCAGGTCCTGCTGATACTGTGACTTGTTATCTAAATTCATAGTTGAAAGAAATGCTTAAATTCAAAGGTTAATAAAAATGCAATTTTTTATTTTTCTCATTGAGTTCAGAGATGGGAAAGTGTTCTCAAGCATTTCCTTCCCGTCTTCTACCTCTCACTTACCCTCTCCCAGCTGTCATTTATCCAGGACGGTCCTCACACCCAGTGTCTGTTGGCGAGCTGCCCAGACCAGCCTTTCTGCTCCCCTTCCACCCAGCTCCTCACTCATCATGACTTCTTTCTCTTCCAGGACCTACTGATGGTGACCTACCTGGCCAATCTCACCCAGTCACAGATTGCCCTCAACGAGAAACTCGTCAACCTGTGAATGGCCCCAGCAGTAGGACTCAGAGTGGAGTGAAGTGGAAATGGCTTCTTGTGGTTTGAGTCACACTGAGTGAGTCAGCTGCTTGTGACTCTAAATAAACATAGCCTATCTTTTGTAAATGAATTCCATCTTACGTGCATTTACTGCTGGGGAAGGGAGAAAACTTCTAGAGCTCATGCAGAAACCACGAGTGAGTACTTTGGGCAGAAGTTAGTTGTGTGCTTGTCATCAGTTGTACCCACAGCCCAAGCTGCTGTAGCTTCACCTGTCCCCGAATCAGATAGCCTTAGCATACTGGTCACAGGGACACTGTCTCCCCACTCTTCTTGCTTATGATCGGAGCACATAGAAAGTTTTTTGTCACTTTTCTTCCATAGCGTCTTATGTGGATGGCAGTATAAAGGGTTGTGTTGTGCACAATTTGAAGTCCCTAGAGAATGTGCTGGTGAGGGAGAGAAGGAGGTGGATACAGATCTCAGTCCTGGGACCCATGAGTCCTGGTAGGAAGACAGCTTCTCCATGGTGAGAAAACATTGCTTTATCGAATATTTCCTCTTGGTTTTCAGCCTGGAGAAGTTTCCCACAGTACTGTGAGCCACTTCTTGAAAGGGTCACGTGGTTTCCACAGGAAATAAAAATGAGAATATATTCAGGGAAAATAATTGAGAATTGGATACTTAATCTAAACTGAAAGAGTAGAGGGTGTGCTCAGTGTTTTAAAATACGTAAATAGTAGGAACGAGCTGTTTGACACTGGTTCAGGGGGGCAGAATTACCATCTCTAGGTCAAGTGTTTACCCATTTTAGTGGGGAAAACAGAAAAGTAAATAATCACTTGCAAAACAGTGGAAGATGAATGCTGATCTAATACTTACTGAGCACCTGTTATGTTTGGGGCAGTTGTTATTTTCAGAGGAGTTTAGTACGTTACTTGAAGTTATACAATTAAATGATGAAACAAGATTTGAATTCAGGTCTGAATTTCATTTTTGTGTGTAGCCCTTTGCTTCACAATTTAGTGGCCCAATGAAATCATTAGTAGGGCAAAAATACAACATGACAGGAGCACATGATAAGGATTGACCAACTCTCAGAGGGCATCTGGGAGGATTCTACCCAGGACGTGATATCTGAGCTGGTTTTTTGTTTTTCAACCAGGAAATCATGAAAGGCAGAAGAAACTTTAAAAAGCTTAACCTACTAGGAGCTAAAGGAAGTGTTTATAAGGATTGGATCATGGATCTCTAATAAAGCTTCAAGCTTGACTGCAAAAAAAAACACACAAAACTTACCCTGTTCAGAACCTAAGGGGCATATGCAGGAGCCGAGCATAGGGCCCTCCGTCTGTGGAGGTGAGCTCTGTATTCCGGAAGCTGTGGGAAGCCAGTGGATAATTTTAAGCGGATTTAGTCAGATGTGGGTTTTAGGAAGATCACCTGGTAGTGTAGGAAGGGTAGAAATAGAAAGCAGGGAGATGAGTTTGAGGGCCACTGTTGGTTCAGAGGAGAGATGAGTGCCCAAACCGAGGCAGTAGTGGTGGGGAGGGTGAAGAAGACGCAGATTCTAGAGGATGTTACGAGGCAGACTAAGGAGGACCTGAGACGGGTTGAAACATGGATGGTGAGAGGTGGGAGGAGTCCAGGGTTGCCTGTTTCTGATAGTGGTGGGTGAAGCGATGGTCATATATGGAAGCTGGCTACTCCAAAGTGCTGGAAGCTTAGAGGATGCAGAGAGCTGGGACCAGAATAAGGTTAGAGGGACCACACGGTGAGGTCTTCAGTGCAAAACAAAAGAATTGTGACTTTGGGGAACTGAACTACACCAGGTCTTTTGGGAAAGGCTGAAGAATTCAAGTTAGCTGTTTGCTCACGTGATACTTAAATGCCAAACTGTGTGCTAAGCAAAAAGCCACGTTACCTGCTTAAGATGTACCAGAGAGGACCAAGTAATCATTACCTTGGGAGTCACAGGTGTCGGGGGTTATGGAAGGCATCTCATTAGGAAGTTAAATCTAAGTTGGACTTGAATGAGGGCAGAATGAAAAAGAAGACGGGAGAAAACAGCATTCTGGGCACAGAAAAGAATAGGTGCAAAGGCTCAGAGAAAGGCAGCGTCAGCCATGTGGCTCCAGCCTTGCTGACTCCTGGGTGCTGACTCCTGGCTCGGGAGCTGTTTGTGAGGAAAGGAACGCTCTGTACCTAGGCTGACTGAAAAATGACTGGATTTTTTAAAAAATATTTTTAAAAATTGATTTTTAGAGAGAGAGGGTGGGGGAGGGGGGAGAGAAACATCAATTGGCTGCCTCCAGCACACCCCCTACTGGGGATCAATCCCGCAACACAAGCCTGTGCCTTGACTGGGAATCGAACCTGAAACCTTTCGGTTCACAGGACGATGCACTGGCCAGGGCTGGATTTTATTTTTATACCCTTTGCTTATGTACACACAAGTCTGTTTTTACTGTCAATGTGTGTACATGTTCTCTTTGTTATGTGGTTGTGCTTATGCTAAAAACAATGTGGCTTGACTTCTGTGACACACCACACTCCACGGATTTTCTCTCAACTGCCTTAACCACTGCTTTTCAGTGCTTTTTCTTGGTCCTTCCTCCTCTGACCCTCCCTAATGTTTCATTCTCCAGGGCTGCATCCTGGGCCCTCTGCACCTCCTCTGCACCCTCTGCCTGGAAGACCTCACGAAGCCTATGACAGTTATGACTGCCTGTATGTTCAGGATGCCCATGCTCTAGCTCTAGCTCTAGCTCTAGCTCTGGCCACATTCAGAACTAGTTTCCTGATTCTGGACTAGTTAAACTGACACAAGATACCTCACCTGGATGTCTCAAAAGCATCTGAAATTCAGTTCCATATTGAACTGATTGTCTCTTCCTCCCCCACAAATCACCTGAATTTCCTTCCTCAGGTGATAACTCAACTATGTACCCAGTTATCCAAACCCTAAACCAGGGGTCCTCAAACTTTTTAAACAGGGGGCCAGTTCACTGTCCCTCAGACCGTTGGAGGGCCGGACTATAGTTTAAAAAAAAACTATGAACAAATTCCTATGCACACTGCACATATCTTATTTTGAAGTAAAAAAACAAAACGGGAACAAATACAATATTTATATTTGCATGTGGCCTGCGGGCCGTAGTTTGAGGACCCCTGCCCTAAACCTTGGGTAAATTCTTGATTCTCCCCTCCCTTTCCACCATCATGCCTCAACTAGTTAATTACTACTCTGCCTTCAGTCTTGCCCTCTATGATATATATATATATATGTTGGTCTTCATCCATGCTCCTGGCAGGCAGCTTGTAAAACCTTGGGAATTTCCTAAGTGATGGGAGCTATAAAGATAGAGTCTTGTTATTCCTAACAAGCCCCTGTCAACAGCATCTAAGTTTATGTTAATGAAGTGATTTTGGAAAGCCTCTAGATAACCATAAGATGGGGACTGGTTGCCAGGAGAACTGACCTGCGTGATTGGAGGTTGGAACTTTCAGCTGGATTTAATGCCAGTGAGTTAATCAAACTCACCTACATATGAGGCCTCCACGGACCCCACAAGGACAGTTTGGAGAGCTCCTGGGCCGGTGAACAAGAATGCAGCCAGGAACCCAGTGCGTGCCAGGACGGTGGCGCAGCCAGACAGGGCCCGAAGCTCCTGGGCGCCAGACAGACCCCTTCAGACCGCACTCTGCCTCTTCACCTGGCTGCTCATTCGTATCCTTTGTAGTAAATGAGTAATGGCTAGTGATCTTCAGTTCTGTGAAGTGCTCCAGCAAACTAATCCAACCCAGGGAGGGGGCCGTGGGAAGCTCCAATTTGTGGTGGGTCGGTTAGTGCACAGGTGTCAGCCTGGACTTGCAACTGGCATCTGAGGGGGTGGGGGCCGTCTTGTGGGACTGAGCTCTTAACCTTAGGATCTGACACTGTCTCCAGGTAAATAGTGTCAAAACTATGCTAAACTGTGGGACACTCAGCCGGTATCAGCATTGCATGGTGTGGAAAGTCACCTGCACATCTGATCACGGAAATGTTTGATGTCAAAACTATGCTAAACTGTGGGACACTCAGCGGGTATCAGCGTTGCATGGAAAGTCACCTGCACATCTGATCACGGAAATGTTTGATGTGAGTAGTCAGTTTAGAGAAAAACGGTTTTCCTGTTCACCTCCCTGGTCCATTCTCACAGCAGCCACACTGCTCTTTGCAAATCTGACCAGGACACACCTCAGTTGAAATCTCCAGTGGAGTCTCATAGCAAAGGGTCAACTCCACACTTCTTATCACAACCTGCATGGCTCATCAGATTGCATGGCTCTCCAGTTCTGTCCCTTATTCCCAGCCTGGGCTCCCTTGCACTTGCTCTCTGCTCTGCTAGAATCTGTGCCCCTTTGGCTCATCCTACTGCTCATCCCTTAGGTTTTAGTCCAAATGTGCCTCCTCTTGGAAGGTGCTCCTAGACCAGGATTCCATGATATTCTCCTAGCTTAGCATTTATCTCACCGTTTTGAACTTGTGTGTTTATCCCCTATTACAGCACAAGCTCTGTGAGGGCAAAGTCTCCTGTAGACTTAACATTCCCAGGTCCCAGAGCCGACCCAGACCCAGAATAATTCTTAATAAACATTTGCTACATGAATAAATGAATGGGTGGCTTGCAGGATAATTACCACGAGGTGCTATGGATATAATAGGTCCATTAGGAGTCATCAGGATCTTCTGGAGAGGGGCTGGAGGGAGGGAGCACACCAGACAGTGTTCCTTGTTTTACTCATTTATTCTCCAAATACTTAGTGACGCTTAGTATGCACCAGCCATAGAGGCAGGTACTGGGGCTACAGAAGTAGATGAACCATGTTCTCTGCCCTCTATGGGTCTCAGTATTATGGGGTAGATGCACAAAAGCAATTATGACAGAAAGCTGTAAATTATAGGGTAGGAACAAGTCTTAGGAAGACAGTACAGAACATGCTGAAATCTGCAGAGAAGGGAATGCAATCTTTAAAGACATTAAAATTGACTGGCGCAAAGGAGGAAGAGCTTTGAAGAAAGGAATGAAGATCAAAATGTTACTTTCAGTTTCCTAGTGGCCCATATATAGAATTGTGTTTCCAAGG